GGGGTGAAGGGGCGGGGAGGGTAAGGGGTAAAGGGTATGGGAGGTTAAGGGGATGGGGGCGAGGGTTTGGTAGGCGAGGGGGAGGGAGGTAAGGGTGAGAGAGTTGAGGATGAGGGAAGTGAGAAATGGCCAGAAGCTATGGAAAGGGATGTGGGGAAGATGCAGGTGAGGAAGGTGTGAGTGAGAGAAAGTTGGATATATGCCTTTTTGTTTTAACTGTGAAGTCATCTTAGTCCTACGAAAAGTTCCACAAATAGTATACAGAATCATGCATGCCCTTCACCCACAATCTCTTTGTGTTAACACCCTATATGGCCATGGTCAAATGATAAAAGCCAGGAAGTTGTATTGGTATGCTGCTATCAGCCACACCATTGACCTGATTTAGACTGTATTCATTTTTTCACAAATACCCTTTTTCTGTTCTAGGATCCCATAACCAACTAACTGCAAATGTCCCTGATCTTCTCCAGTGTGTGCAGGTTCCTTAGTGCTCCCGTCTCTCATGACTCTGACACTTTGGAAGAGTCCTTCTCAGTTATTCAGTCTAATACCACTTAATTTGGGTTTGTCTGTTTTCTTATGAGACTTTCTGTTTTCTTATGAGCTTCTATACTTTTGGCAAGATTGCCTCCCCCATGCACCCTCTGGGGGGCCTGACCGCACTATGTCCCATTACCAGTGATAAGAACCTTTAGCATTTAATGTGGCTGGCTCTGCTGGGTCTCTCCAGTGCTAAGCTACTATTTTCCTTGTTACTGTTTTCTCTTCGAGAGACACTTTTAGACGATGCAAATATCCTACTTCTCCCCAGTCTTCCATCTACTGATGACACATGACATTTTCTTCACAATGTTTCTATAACACTAATAGCTTGCATTTTCTACATGGGGTATCTTATAATCAGAGAAAACTATTTTAAAAACATGTTACTGCACATGAGCCCTCCGTGGTATCAGGAGAAAGTAAGGACAGCAGTAGCTCCCCAACAAGTAGAGTTAGTGCCAACAAAGCCTCTTGACCTTTTGAAGGCTGTGGGCAACAGCATGGAGCCAGTGCTGTTGCCAGGTCCTTCCAGCTGGCTGTTCTTGGACACATGATTAAACTTCTCTGGGCTTTAGCTTCATCTCCATAAAACAACTTTGCTGCCAAACTTCATTACCCAATGAGAAGAAGGATATAAAAGAACTTTCAAAGGATGCAAAAGGGCTGATAAATATCACATTGTGCTATTCTTGTCCCCATAGCTGTTACTACTGTAAAGTACCATGAAAAAATTGTGGAATTCAGAGCTAGAAAGCTGTCTCACTGCCTGGCTCTGTCTGTCTTAGCTCAGATTATCTGAATCAAGAGCCTGCTGAAAGATTAAAGAAAATGGCACCCACACATGTGTTTCTTCCTTCTCCTGTTTCTGGTGGCCACAGCCAGGCTCACGTGGGGCATACCATGGCCCTCCTCTCTTTCCCACATTTCAAGTCCATTTTCTCCTCCATGCCTCTGCTCTTGCCTATCCCAGGCCCCACCAACTTCACTCCTGGCAGCAAGAGGAGGGGCTTACCTACAGCACCATCAGCCAGGGCCCCTGCTGTGTCCGATGTACCACTCTGGTGATCTGAAAGGGGTTCCGTTCTATCTGCTGCTGGCTGATGGGGCTGCTGTGGAAGAAAAGACACACAGCAACAGTGTGACAGGAGGCTGTCTCAGAGCGAAATCCCAGATGGCTCACACTTCCAGTCCCTGGGTGGCTTTAGAGAATGGACATGGGGGCCAGAAACAAGGACAGAAGAAAGAAGCCAGAGCACATTAAGAAACAAGGCTAGAAACTCACCAAGGCTAGAAACTCTAGGAGGAGTTTCCCTCTGGAATACCCAAAGCATGTTAAGGTTCTGCTATCGACTACTAAAGCCTGTTTTTGTTGTTTCATTTAAGATCCAGGTTATAATCAAAATGTGAAGATGTACACAGCTATAACACAGCTCAGAGAGGGATGAAAAAGACCCCACAAGGACCATGTGCACTGTGTCACATGTCCTTGGTGCCAGCACGCTGCCCAGGGTTAGCTTATCATGGTCTGAGGGTAGAGGGCTGAAATGGGGCTGTGAGCTCACTGAGGGCAAGGGTCTTGCCTCTCACATTTGCCCAGGGCCTTGTATGAAGAAATACTTAAAAAACACCATCAATTTTATTTTCTATTTAATTGAAAACGTTCCAAAAGGGTGCACTACTTCCACAAGGGCTCAGCCCTTCATTAGCAGGGGCTAGGCCTGACGGGCAACATCTGCCCATGGGGATTCTCTGCTGCCTTTTAAATGGAAAGGGAACATGACCAATGTGCAAAGACTCATAAGGACAGGAGAAATCAATGCTGAAGAAGAAAAAAGATCCAAGAAAAGTCTACCTCTGCGTGACAGGTCTCTGCTGATCCAAGGCTGTGGTTTCCTCCAGCCAATGAGTTGAGAAGGCTAAAGCTTTGGTTTCTATCTGGAAAGAAAAATACTATCATTGAAATGCCTGTTTACATTTTAAATTGTTAAAACAACTGTGATGATTAGACAAAGGCTACTTCATGATCAAAGCTCTAACTATAAACAAATAGCTACTGTCCAACACTCTCAGTTCCAAATGCTTTTTAAAAAAAGTCACATACTATTAGTCTAGGTCATTGTAACAAACAAAAGGTCACTCAGTGGTTCTATCCGCAAATACTAACAGCACTGATGTCTTAAGAGCCCCCATGAACTAATATTCCATTGTTTTAAACAATTAGGAACACTTAAAAGATCAACACCAAGGCACTAATAGCAGATGAAATAGGCACTTGTGCTTTTGGGAACCAAGCTCTTACTTGGATATAAACCAGCGCTGCAGTAAAGGTAAAGGCCCCAGTGCTCTAGATGTCTGCACTAAGGACGGAGGACGAATCTCCAGGGATACTGAGCAAGACTACCCAGCATCAAGGACTCCAGCTCAGACTCCCAGAGTCAGCGTTTTTAGGACAGAGGCCAATTCCTCTCAGCCCTGAGCAGGACTCCAGGAGGCTACAGGACCAGGGAGGTTTGGAAACCCTCCCTTAGGATGAACAGGAAGGCATGTCCAAGAGAAGTTGCAGAATTCTCTCTCAAGAAGACAGCTTCATCCCACCTCGCTTGCCCCCACCTGCTGCTCTTGTTTCCCTTCCTCTAAACCTTCAAGCCTCCGACACTCTTTCCCTGCCAGGAGACAACCAATGTCGGACACCAGGTCACACAGAGCTAAGACAAAGCAGATGTGGGGCTGTCTCCTTCCTTCTTCCTTTCCCTGGCCTGCACAAAGCCCCGTCGTGGCCTGCTGGGAGCTGCCCTGCAGCTTTTCGAGCCTGATTGCTCCTGGAGCCAGGCCATGTGGCCCTTAGCCCAGTACCTCTGCTTTTAGGTGATGGGGGCTGATGGCACCAAAAGCTTTTCCAGCTGCACACACTCGACACACCAGTGTGGTCAAAGGTACCCGTGTCCACGCTTCTAGGCCCCTTCATCTCCTCATCCAGTGCCTAGGTATGCCAATCTCCAGAGAGGGCACTGAGATTTCAGCGAGGTGGGACATGGAGACTTCATGGCCTGAGGTAAGCAGATCTGTGTTGCCCTCCATCCCCAATGGCGTCAGAGCCAGAGAACGTTTTCTCAAATATCAACCATGTCTTCCTTTTGGTCAGCTTACTACTGGCTCTGAAGCCACACTCAGACAGGGGAGTACCTGTCCCGAGGACACAGGAGCACTCTATGGGACACCTTGAGCCATGGCCCACATGCACACCTGTGCCATGGATGCCGGCTGCAGGAGCATCCTGGTTTCTGTCACTAGCAGGCACCTGGACGTTGGGTGAGTTTCCGCTCCCATCCTAGACCTCTCCATATTCCAACTCATGGTTTACAGCTCTCCCCTGGCGGGCACTCCCTAGCCTTGGCAGCGGACTGCAGCCTGTGAAGGCGGCAGCACCACGTCAGCTCAGGCATGCTGCCACACCCAGGCAGTCTATGGAAACGCCTTGTGCTCAGCGGCTACCCTCAGGACGGGCGCAGACAACAGGAGATGGAGGGCCAGGCTGCCACTGCAGACTGGAAACCTCCATGCTCCTGTGGATTTCTGTTCCATACTCAAATATTATTCATCTATTCAAAGAGATTTTTTGAAATTTAATGGTTTTAGGCCATGTGTATTTTGCCACAATGAAAAATTGAAAAGAAAATGTAATGTCCCAATTCTAAAGGATAAAACAATATGAAAAAGTCAAAAATAGTGGACTGGTGGTCAGAAAATCTGACTTTTGCCTGACTCTGCTAACCTGTATGATCACAGGGAAATTAGTCAACCTCTCTGGACTTCAATTTTCTGATCTGTAAACCGAAGGGGTTGCTATACACATGGCTGTTAATGTCCCCTCTACTCTACAAGTTGGTGATTTTATAAAGTAAAGAGGCAGTCTTTAGCCTCACTTAACGGTAACTTGGAATTTCGCCCAGCTTAAGTATTTTTTAAAATGTAACCTAGAGAAAAATAAGAACTTTACATTTTAGAATTCCTTTAAGGTTCACAGATGACTATGAGTTTACATGCAATCAGGTTTCAGGCTAATTATAACAAGCTAGAAGAACTTTTGCTCATAAGAGTTCATTATGTTCCACCGCTTACGTTTTAAGAAAGTGAGAAACATATCCATTTACACAATTAGAAAAAGAGTTCATTTCTGTTTATTCAGGGCAGACTGATCACACACTAATGTTGTTCAAAAAATTTGGATGATGGTTTATACACCTACAACTTTAAAAACAACCTTTCATTTCGCCTAGTTCAGTGTTTATTAAAATTCTACCTCGTGCCTCATGTACCCACTGTGTGACTACATCTTTTCTTATTTGCTACACTTTCCCCCCAGGATTCTGCACAAGGAAATGTTGTCCCTGTTCTGAAGGATTTATTCCTTTAGCATGTTGTTGAAATTGGTTGACATGGATGGTTTTGTTGATGTCACAGAATAAATACTCATCTCAGAAGGAATAAACACATTCACCTACTCAGCTGATTCTTCTGCAACTTCGGGGATGCAGGAAGAGGAAGCTGTTAAGTGATGTAAAACAAATTATTCTGGAGGGCATAAGCATGCGTTAACTCTGGTCCTAAAGCATCTGATTCAGTTTCAGGGGTCCAGGAAGTTGGTACCCTAGAATCATAGGTAAAAATGAAGGTACCATGAAAAAAATCTGCTGGTGCTGGTCGTTAGTGCATTCTTCCAGGAAGAAACAAAACTAACGCCTCTAGGATAAGGATTTTAAGGGGGGGGGCGACACACACACACACACACACACACACACACACACACACACACACACACACACACGACGACCACCACGACGACGACCCCCGACCTCTTAAGCCTTAGGGATGACAATTGTTTTCAACATGAAAATGTGAAACACAGGAAATTGTTCAGCCATCTCTTTACAAACCTAAAGGCACATTGTTATTTTAGAAATACAAAATGCATTTAACACAATAATTTTGATTTATGCACCAGACATTTAGAGAATTAGAAACCTAGGCCAAAAGGGAAATTTTAGCATGGAGATAGGGGAAACTTTTTTTTTTTTTTTTGAGTAAGGGTCTCACTCTGTTGCCCAGGATGGAGTGCAATGAGTGACACAATCAAGGCTCACTGCAGTCTCCAACTTCTTGGTTCAAGTGATCCTCTTGTATTGACCTTCTGAGTAGCTGGGACTACAGGCATGTACCACCAAACCCGGGTTTTTGTTTGTTTGTTTGTTTTTTTGTAGATGCAATGTCTCATTACGTTGCCCAGCCTCAAATTCCTGGGCTTCAGCAATCCTCCTGCCTTGGTCTCCCAAAGTGCTGGGATGAGCCTCCACACCCAGTCACAAAGTCTTTTTTTTTCCTTTTTCTGCTCTTCTCCTGCTTATTTTCCATTATTTATCATGGCAATATAATAAGCATATGAATTTGGAGACAGACAAAGGCATAGATTTAAATCCTAGTTCTACAACTTATTGTGCAGTAAATCATGCCTTTTCCACAGTCAGTTCTATATATATGCAGGGGCTGTAACAATAATCACCTAACATGTACTGAATGCTAAGTACACGCAAGGTGATGTTTTAATTCCTCGACATCCAAGGCTGTTTTAAAACTTACAACATTAAAGTGTATCTTCTATACACATAGAAATCAACATCTCTTATTTACTGTATTATCCTCTTTTACAGAAGATTTATTTTATTATTTGCTTTTAGAGAATAAATTATAACTCAGACTAAGTAACTTGCTCCAAAGCACACAGCTAGAACCAGAATTTGAAATCTAGGACTCTCTCTCCATTAAATCCTGGTCACATGCAGAGTTCAGGCAGGTACAGTTTCATCTAAGTCTTGTTGTCCAAATACTGGATGTCACACAACCTTGGGTCAAGTGCAAACAGGTACTTTTATTCAGATATAGTTCTCGCTTGTTAGTCATTATGCCTCTTGTTTAGACTGTGATTTTCAATAATTAATCATATGCCACTCACTAACTGATCCCAGCCCAGGCCTGTAACTCCTGGAGGCAATGGTCAAACAAAACCGGTGGCAGACAGGTGGTAAGGTGCCACTGCCCTTTACTGTCCCTCAAGGACATGGAGACCAGGGTTTTCAGTCACAGTGTTACTGACTTCCAGGCTGGAGAACGCTTGTGTCGGGGACAGGGGTGGGGGGTAGGGAGGGCCTGTGCAGTGCATCCCTAGTCTCTACTTGGTGATGCCTCTGAGACTGCCTGATGACCACGGGAGACCACATCCCCTCCAACTGAGAACCACTGATCTGGATTGCCTAATCAGGACAGGAAAACTCTGACTAAAATCTTCATGTTTAAGGCAGAACTTGAAAAAAGTTTTAATGAAAAAAGAGAATTAAGATATTTAGAACAGTCACCCATTCCCTCTTGTCAGCACTGAAAATATCCTCTCCCTGCCCTGGGAACCCTCTCTGGATCACTCTGGTCCACAGTCCCCGCCCTCAGGCACACTTGCCTTTGCTTGTCCTTACTATTCACAGGGCTCTCTGTGAGTCCAAGCACCATCCTCAACTGTGCCGTAAGCTCCTCGCAGTCATGGACAGACACGGAAGGTTCTTCCATACCCACAGCTCAGCACAACACTGAGCACGCGGAGGGCGGCCACCTTACCCCAGGCCTGACATGACTGCCAGGAAGAGGTAGAGGAAGAATGTATCTGCTTCCAGCTCACACGTCTTACTCGTGGGTCAAGGTTCTCCAGAGCTATACCCCAAGTGACTTAGATGCCCTGTCAGATGCTTTCTGTGTGCATATTTCAGTGCTTGTCTATCAAGTAGACTCATCCGTCATGGCCTTACAAAGTTCAAGGTTTATCTGTATGTCAAGTCTCCTTCACGTCCCCTCCTTTCTGCACAAGCCATCTTCCTTTTATCGTGAACACATTC